ATTACTTTTATATTAAAATATTTTTAGTATACCATTTAAATTATTCTGCTTGTTTTTTAACTCTGTTTCTTTGCATCTTTTTTCTTTAGTGGTTGCTCCAGGGACTATAATACACATCTTCAGTTTATCATAATCTACTTTAAATTCATACTGATTTACTTTTTTGGTGAAAAATAAAAACTTTGCACAATTATAGCGTCATTCCTCACCCTCCGTCCTCTGTGCTGTTATTGTCATGTATATTGAATTTATATGTATAATGCCATATGGTGTCATAAACCCACAGTGTGGCATTACAATTTCTGATTTAAACAACTGTGTGTGTTTTTTAAAGTTAAGAGAAGAAAAAGTAATGTATACATATATATTTTGTATTTTAATTATTATATTCTGTATTTTCACTTTACCTACATGCTCACTATTCCAGAGCTCTTTTTTTTTTGTGAACTGGATTACTATCTGATATTATTTTCTTTCATTTTGAAGAACTGCCTTTAATTTTTCTTATAGTATAAGTCCAACAGAACCAAATTCTGTGTTTTGTTTATCTGGAAAAAGATTTATTTTACCTCTATTTTTGAAGGATAGTTTTATCAGATGGTAAATTTGTAGGTGAAAGTCCTTGTTCTTGTTTTTATTATTCTTTCAGCAGTTTAAAAATATCATTCCACCACCTTCCAGTTACCATTGTTTCTGATGAGAAATGCACCACGGATCATGTTGTCTTGAATGCGATGTATCTGTTTCCCTCCCTCTCTCACTGCTTCCAGTCTTACCTCCTTTCTTTGATTTTGGCATTTTGACTATGATGTCTCTTTATGTTTTTTGTTTGTTTGTTTGTTTTGTTTTTTAACTTTGGGTTATTCAGTTTCTTGACTCTCTAAGTTAATGGTATTCACTCACATGGAGAATTTTCAGCTTTTGTTAAAAAAATAATTGTTCTGTGCCTCTTTCTCTTTCATATTTTTTTGGGACTCCTATCACATTTGTGTTTGAACACTTTGTATTTTCTGATAGGTCTTGAAGGGTCTGTTCATTTTCCTTGAATTTTCACTCTCTGTTCTTTGGATTGTGTAACTTCTGCTCTATCTTCAAATGTAAAGATTCTTTCTTCTGCCATCTCAGATCTGCTCTTGAATCCTTGTAGTAAATTTTTGTAATTTTCAGCTGTAGAAATCCCATTTGATTCTTTTTTTGTAATTTCCATTATCTATTGAAACTATCATTGGTTCGTTGTTAACATAAGTTTCTTTAATTCTTTGAACATTTTTCTTTAATTCCTTGAGCATAGCTATAACAAGTGCTTTGAAGCCCTGTCTGAATCTACTGTCTGTTTTGTTTTTTTTGGTTACGCTTTCCTGTTTCATTGCATGTCTAGTAATTTCTGGTTGAAAACTGGACATTGAGTGATTCTAGATTCCATTCACTTTTCTAAAAGTTTAAATTGCAGAATTAATCTCCTCCACAGTGTGCAGCCACTGAAACTATGGTGTAGATTTTATTGTAGCATTTTTTTGTTTTGTTTTTCAGTCTGGCTCTCTAAGGGTGTCCTCTATTCCTACATTATATAATGATGAGACAATTATTTGGATGGAAGTTATGATCAGATACCTTGAATTACTAAGCCTCCCACCCTCTGCTGCCAGAGCTGTGTGTGGCTGGAGAAACACATTCACATGTATAAGTCCTTGTACAAGGTGGGAGGGTGAGATGGGGGTGAGAGTTGAAAAACTACCTGTTGGAGCAACATGGGAAAACCCTGTCTCTTCAAAAAATACAAAACACCAGCTGGGTGTGGTGGCATGTGTCTGTGGTCCCAGCTACTTGGGAGGCTGAGGTAAGAGGATCCCTGGAGCCCAGGAGGTGAAGGCGGTAACAAGATATGATCACACTACTGCACTCCACCTTGGGGGACAGAGTGAGACCCTGTTTCAAAGGAAAAAAAAAAAAAAACAGACAAACTGCCTATTGGGTACAAGGCCTACAATTTAGGTGACGGGCACACTAAAAGCCCAGACTTCACCACTGTGCAGTATATCCATGTAAGAAACATGCGCTCGTACCCTCTAAATACATAAATAAATTTTAAACCAAACAAATAATTTTTTGCACATCCTCAGGTCTCCCTTGGCTCTCACTTTTTGCTGCCCCCTTTTTTTTTGGTTTCTTCCCCAGTCTGAGATGTGCCGGGAGCCTAGTATCTCAGCCCTCTCATGGCTTGCTTACTTCCAGGTTCCCCTCATCACAGTCCTGGCTGATCTGTCTACCATGAACAAACGCTATAATCCCAAGTCAGTAAAGCTGCAGATTTTTGCTTTCTGATTCTGCAGGACTGATTCCATGAACTTTAACTCACGAAACTACAGGTTCTCATCACCCCATTTCAGGCCAAATCTACCACCTTCTGCTGGTGTAGCTACTGGTTTTCTTTTTATTTATTTTTTAATTTATTTTTGAGATGGAGTCTTGCTCTGTCACCCAAGCTGGAGTGCAGTGGTGCAATCTTGGCTCACTGCAACCTCTGCCTCCAGGGTTTAAGTGATTTTTGTGCCTCAGCCTCCTGCGTAGCTAGGACTACAGGGGCCCACCACCACGCCCAGCTGATTTTTGTATTTTTAGTAGAGATGGAGTTTCACCATGCTGTCCAGGCTGGTCTCGAACTCCTGACCCCAGGTGATCTACCCACCTCAGCCTCCCAGAGTGTTGGGATTACAGGCGTCAGCCACCACGCCTGTCCTAGCTACTGGTTTTCAGTGACAGGCCTTGAACCAAGCCCACTATTCCCATTAGGTAACCTGTGCTTTTCCTCACTCAGGCCAGGGGCTGGGGAGCTTCAGGCAAGATGTCCGCAGACTTGTGGCCATTCTGATGCAGGAGCGGCTTTTTAAGATTAAACCCTTATCAGTTTTTTGTCTGTTTTGGGTCATTTTCCAGTACCCGGAAATTGTTGTTTTTGACAATTTTGTCTAGTTTTATACCTGCTTTTTTTTCAAAAGGAAATTGGCCAGCTTTTTAGACCCTTCCAAGGTGAACCAGTCCAGTCGGATTGGTTTCATGTTTCTTCCACTCCAATACCTTATTGCTCACAGCTTTTGATTTGGATCAGAGATGTGCAGATATTAGGATGCCGGCGTCGGCACATGGAAGGAGAGCTGAATTTTGCATAAGTCACCTCGAATGTACAAAAATAAATGGGAGAACCAGCGATGTTGAACGCCGAGCTGGGCGTTTCAGAGCTGGGGTCTAGTCTTAGTCCAGCCTTGAGAAAACTTCTCTGAGGTTTTCTAAAAAGGTATCTAACAAAGGATTCCCCAAGCCTCCCCCAACACGTCTCACGGTTTCCATGTTCTCCCCAGGGTCCTTTCCTGACTTCTCCTCTGCCTTTCTCATGGGCCTGTGACTGCGAGGGTGAAAATGGCTGAAATTAACTTTCACTTCTGCTCAGACATCTGGAACCCATGAGCAAAGTCATTTCCTTGTTTTCTTTCTGAGTGGCTGCTGGAATCCTTTGAGAGAGAGAGATAGTGAGTGAGTGTTGTGTATGTGTGTGTGTGATTATTTTACAACCTCTGTCTGCTGGGGTGGACAGAAAGGTAATGTTTTATCCTGGATCACGTAAGGGCCAGCATACCTCCCTGCAGATTCTCACATCCCCTCTCACTCTAACCTTGGGTAGATGGAAAATGGATTTTCTTTGTAGGAAGTTGGATTTCTTACTCCCCACTATATTGTCTATTCCCTGAAGTCAAGTATATTATAGTTGTCCAAAAGCATCTATTTAGGCCCCACTGACAAAATGTTAGAAGTGGTTCAGGCAACATCACAACATCCTGGTTCAGCAAAAGACTCTGCCCGGGGATCTGTCTCTGAGAGTCTGTAGGAGTCTTAGTCACAAATCATGTTCAAAGCCATCCCTTGGCAGCTTCCCCCAGTGACCCCTGATAGAATTTTGCCCCTGCCTCTGGTCTAGCGCTGTGCCCCATTGAGGACTCAGTGGCTGCACCTACCGTGCTCCACTGCGGCGATCTGCTTACCAGGCCCCTTCCGCAAGCTCCTTAGGCTGAGACCCTCAGAGGAGGATGGAGCGTAGATACATTGGCATCTCCAGCCTCCGGCGGGTGCTTACCACAGAGCAGGTGTTCAGAAAACTGTGCTGCGTTAATTTAATTGAAGTAGGAAGACTGAGTCATCTCATCTCAGATCAGTCACTTGTTAAATCAGAAGCTCACAGAGTTTGGAACTCTTTCGACCTGTGTTTCATGGTCGGGTCCGCGTAGTAGTACCAGGAGGTGAATGTAAGAGTAAATTAACGGGAGCTGCCATGGACCGAGCTGGCCCAGGGTTCTGGACACTGGTCTGAGCCCTTTGCTACCTCGCAGAGAAGATCAGACCTGGGACTTAAAGCAGTCAGCCACATTCACATGAGCTTCCAGGTATTTGGAGTCCAATATGTGCTAAATATGGTAATAGATGCTTATGATGCATGATCCATTTATTCTCACAAAACCCCGGGGAAGTGAAACATTATTTCCACAGTGTCTTAAAACCCCAGAACTCTGTGTTGCTGCTTCTATTGACATGAGCACCTGTCAAAGCTATAACTCACAGCTCAGTATGGTCTTAGTCCACTGCAAGGAAATGAACTCCATGAGGAAACTGAGACTTGGACCGTGCAGTAGAAGCTGGCCTGTCTGCCTCCCACACCCACTGTCAAGGATCCAAGACCACAAAGGGAGAAGAGAGAGCCCACTGAGTGGCTTCCTCTGATAAGCCAGTATCAAAACACCGGTGGAAAGGAACCAGCTGACCGGTGAGCGGCTCACCACGCCTGGTCTGACCAGCAAGACTCTAACATCATCTCAGAAGCCTTCTTGGTCCTGTTGGTCCCTTGACTGCTGTGTCCAGGATGCCACCCACCACTGCAGACACCACTCACCACTTGAGAAGTTGGGATCCTTCTCCCATCACCTCCATTACTCTTGTTCTCTCCTCCTCTGAGTTTTCATTGCCAACACTGAAGAGATCTAAGTCACTACTGGCTAGGGAACCATAAAACGAGGAATTAGCTTTGACCGAGCACCCATTCTGTGCCCACCGTTCGTGCCCATTCTACCACTTAATGCTGCTTATGTCCTGTGTGCTAGCTATTATTAACATCATTTAAAGACAACACAAAACCAGTGAGGCTGAGAGAACGGCTTCCCTGGTGCACACAGATGGCACACGGCAGAGCCCAAGACCTCTCCCTGAGCTCTGCAGCATCTGTCCACACGGCAGGCAAATTACCTTACAGAGTCAGCGTGGAGGTTTGCTAACCCTGCCGGACTCGGTGCAGGAAAAACACCAGCCGTGCTGTTAAACCAAAACCCCATGAGAAAACTTTCTGGTGACAGAAGGGCATTGAGACCCATGTGGCCCAGGGCCAGGGAAAGGGCAGCTGCTCATGGTCGTTCCTCAGGCGTTTTCATGGAGCTGAGGGACCCCCCCGCACCCCAGTCAAGCCCAGGAAGCCCACAGGAGCTTCAGCAGGAGGGCGGGGCCCCTGCTGCACTTGCTCACTGGGGGGCTGGGGAGGCTCTGATTGCAGACCAGCGGTGCTGCCACCTCTGTCTGCTGCCAGAAAGCCACAAGCCATGAAAACTGATTGAGATGAGAACTCATCTGGGACTGGCATTTGCTTTAGGATGGTGTTGGAAGCAGCTGGTTGACTCTAGAAGTCTGCTCCACTGTAAGGCTGCCAGGATTTGAAGAGCTATGGTGCAACACCACTGAAGCATTGCCAAGGTGAGGCTTCGTCTTCCGGGTTCTCGAGCGTCTGCCTTTAAATTGTACAAACGGTGCTCCAAGGCCTGTCATGGGGACAGCAGGCAGAGATGGTTCAGTGGGTGCTACAGACGGAGGAAGAGGCATGAATAGGATCTCTGCCTCAGCTATGAATCAATTGCCCTGTGGTTTGTGCATTTCCAGTTTTGAGAATTTTTAATTTATGAAAGTTTATCCATCCAGGGTAGATTCTGCTTTTTGAGCTCTGGAAGTTGGAAAAATCAGTGAATGTGCCACAGAGGAAAGGAGGACTGTGGGCTGTGGAAGGAGAGTTGGGTGGGCACACACAGGCCACCGCTGCACTGTGGGCAAGTCACTTGGCCTCTTGATAGGAGGCGATATCGTTTGTGCAGAGTGTACGGAGGTTAGCGGGACAGGTAGGGAGCGTCTGGCTCGAGGCAAATGACTGGTGGTTGCTTTCATTTTGTTTGTTTCTGAATGAAGTTGTTCCATTTTTCATGTATTCGGGGATGGGGCAACTGAATTGATTTAACAGTGATCTTGGTTAAGAGATCTGCTTCTCCAGGAAACACCAACTGTGAAAAGGAAAGCAGAGCTGATCACGTATTTTGAAAGGATTTGTTTAAATTGTGAGGCTTTGCCAACTTTTCCACTTATCTTGTAATAAGGGTAGATGAAGTTCACCCTCATCTACCCACATTACCAAGGAACTAAGGAACCGTGCGTTTGCAGTAGCAGAGAAGAGTTCGCCGTGATATGCGCAGATCCTCCTCCCTCGGGAGAGGGGGACTTAATTCCCCTCACCTTGAGTGAGACCTGGACTAAGGATGTGGAAAGGGAGAAGTGGTTGCTCTGTCGTGGAGAAACCTGCAGATGCCAGCTTCACCCAGCGATCAAGCTTAGCATCTCCAGGGACAAGCTGGGCTGCTATTGTGACCTGCAACAACAGTGCAGTTCTTCCCATCGGCTCATAACCCCAGTCTAATCATGAGACCGTATCAGACACATCCAAACTGGGAAAGATTCCACAACAGATTTCACCTTCAAAAATGTCAAGGTCAGGCCGGGTGCGGTGGTTCATGCCTATAATCCCAGCACTTCGGGAGGCTGAGGCAGGTGGATCATCTAAGGTCAGGAGTTTGAGACCAACATGGAGAAACCCTGTCTCTACTAAAAATACAAAAATTAGCCGGGTGTGGTGGCGCACGCCTATAATCCCAGCTACTCGGGAGGCTGAGGCAGGAGAATTGTTTTTACCGAGGAGGCAGAGGTTGCAGTGAGCTGAGATCGCACCACGGCACTCCAGCCTTGGCACCAAGAGTGAAACTCTGACTTAAAACAAAACAAAAAAAAACAGTCGGGCCAGGCACGGTGGCTCAAGCCTGTAATCCCAGCACTTTGGGAGGCCGAGGCGGGTGGATCACGAGGTTAAGAGATCAAGACCATCCTGGTCAACATGGTGAAACCCCGTCTCTACTAAAAAAAATACAAAAAATTAGCTGGGCATGGTGGTGCGTGCCTATAATCCCAGCTACTCAGGAGGCTGAGGCAGGAGAATTGCCTGAACCCAGGAGGCGGAGGTTGCGGTGAGCCGAGATTGCGCCATTGCACTCCAGCCTGGGTAACAAGAGCGAAACTCCGTCTCAAAAAAAAAAAAACAAAAAACAGTCAAGGTCATGGAAAACAAATAAAGACAGGGTAAGTGCCACAGGTCAGAGGAGACGTGACAGTCAGGACACCCAAACCCAGAGTTTGCATCCTGTATTGAATCCTAGAACAACACTGCAAAGGTCATTAGTGGAAAAATAGATGAAATCTAAACAAGGCCTGGAGTCTCGCTGATATTAGGGTCACAGTTACTCCTTAGTTCTGGCAAAGGTACCATGTTAGGTAAGGTGTTAACATTAGAAGAACCTGTGGAAGGACATATGGAAATTCTCCGGACTATCTTTGTAATTTTTCTCCAAATCTAAAATTATTGCAATATATTTAAAAAAAAAAAAAAAAGTAGACTCATTCTTCCTCAGAGCAGAAGTTCCAAATCCTGGGCATTCTTGGGAAAACTGGCATTTGCGGCCTGGTAGTCGCACCCTCTCTTTGAACATTCTGGAATATAGCAGACCTTCTGCCTGTTTGATCATCCGTCATTCTCTTTCCCAGCCCCGACCTTATTCTAGAATAGCTCTGTATTTGCCTCTCTTCATGGTATTTTCGTGGATGGTTTTTGTTGTTGTTGTTCAATGGGTTTTGTAGGAGTTGTTTTTTGTATTTTTTGTTTGTTTGTTTTTCAGGGATGGGGTTTTGCTCTGTTGCCCAGGCTGGAGTACAGTGGCAAGAAATCATAGCTCACTGCAGCACTGACCTCCTGGGCTCAAGTAATCCTTCCACCTCAGCCTTCTGAGTAGCTGAGATCACAGGTATGCTGCTGTGCCTGGCTAATTTTTAAATCTTATTTTTTGAAGAGATGGGTCTTGCTTGTTGCCCAGGCTGGTCTCCAACCCCTGGCTTCAAGCCATCCTCCCACCTTGGCCTCCACAGTGCTGGCATTGCAGGCATGAGCCACTGCGGCTGGGCCAGCATGCATTTTTGAGCCTTTGTTCTGTGTCAGGAGCTGCAGGACTGTCTGCCCAGCCAAGCTCACTGCACAGGTGTAGACTCCTGGTACCCCAAGCACAGGCCCAGCTACCCAGACCTGACTCCTCTCCAGGAAGGAAGCAGAAGGCCAAGAATGGAGGGAGTGAGGACCCGGGCCTCTGGGGGAGTACGGCCTTCCAGCCAGATGGAATCTGCTCTCCTCTGGGCTCAACCAGCCCCTAAGAATCTGGCCGGCCAAGCAGCTGTGAGCTGGGCTGGACAGCCCTTCCTCGAGAGTAAACTGTGGCCTCCAGGGACTCAAAGGGCCAGCTCCTGTTTGAGGACTCTGATCTTGTGTGACCACCAGCGGCCAGCATCCTTGCTTGCAGGGGTCACGTGTGTGGAGTGGTAACAACCAGACAGAGAAACTTGGCCCCGCTTGCAGGCCCAGCAGAACAGGTGAGCCCTGCTCAAAGGTGACGCTGCACCTGATTAGAGAAAAGCTTTTGAAGCAGGCGAGAAGGAAGAAAGAATGATAAAGCCGCAGGAAGAGAGCATGTAGACGGAAATCTCCAGATACTCAGATGGAAATCAATCACACAACTCTTACAGGAAAATCACAGCTAAAAGGTGGTGCCTTTCCTGTCACATCTGTTACCTCACTGCCAGCCTGTATGCAGCGGTGACAGCAGCCCTCACATTTCTGGAATGTTCCGTGACATGCTCCTGCTTGTCTGAATCCCCTTCCCACCTTCCCATGTAGGCAACTCTCAATTGCTCTGACGTCCTGGGCAAGTGCGGATGGGATGTCTCCTCCCAGTCACGGTGCCCAAGCCCATTTGTGTGTCCCCAGCAACCACCTCTTGCTTGAGGCCTGCCAGGCTCTCTGGACCAGAGCTCCTTGAGGTCAGGGACAGGCCCTATATGTGTGCCTTTAGGTCCCAGCACCCAGCAGCACAGTGCCTGGCCTGCTGGGGGTATCTGGTAAAGTGGTTCTTGAGTGAAAGACACAAGGGCAAAACCTTGAATGAAAATTGAGGTTAAGACATGAGGTTGAAAGCTTGAAAGAGGAAAAGCAAAGGTAATTAAATAACCATCCCTAACCATGGTGCCCTCCAGTGTCGTCAGCATGCTGGGGTTTTGACAGGGCCCTTGGAAGAAAGAGAAGAGGCATCTGAGCCCTATGGCACATTCCATTTCCTGTAAGGCAGTGTGGTATAGAGGAAAGCATTAGGGCTTCCTTTCAGCCAGTTCTGCCTGGCTGTGCACCCGCCAGCTGGGAATGTGAAATGGGAGCAGTGGCACCCACCCCAAGCACAGATGTGAGAACTGAACAGAACTAAGGGATGGGGGTCCCAAGCCTAAGACATAGAGGAGGCTCCTCCTTGTCCACTGAGGGGCTTGTGGGTGCCCCTTCATCAAGGCCCTGGTGCTTCCCACATTGCATTTAAGGAAGTTGTCTCGCGGGCCTTCTCATCACCACTTTCTACTGGCCTCTTTGCACACTTTGGTACCTAGGATGTTGAGCCTGGACCTGTGGGGGGCAAACAAGACGCCTGGGATGCAAAACATAGGGAGTCTCCCACAATCAGGTCGTTCAAGTAAAGGGAAGGTTTGTGTATGTGTGAAACACACTGTGCCATGTGGTGTCTATAAGGGCATTCGAGGTTCTGTGCTTAACGGATGGAGTTCTGAGCATTGAGTCCATGGAATCCTGATGAGTTTCCTGGTGCTCTGAGCTCCCTGAACTTCTAAGCAGGTTTTTATGTAGGTGGGTATTTACATCTTTAATGAGATTCCCAAAGGGATCTGTGAACCCCAAAATACTTGGAATCATCCAGTCAAATATTTAGTAAGGATACTTTACTTTTCTCCCTCAGTATGTTGTGGATACGAGGAGGTAGAAAGGACTCGGACATAGAAGTCAGACAAAGCAGCCACCTCTGAGCAGTCCCGTCCTGCAGGGTAATGGTTAGATGGCTGGCCTTGTCAACCAGAGGGCCCCAGTGCAAGGTTCAGCCCTGGCAATGTGACCAAGCCACTGTGGGCCTTCCTGAGATGACAGTAGTTTGACCCCACTGTATACTAGCAGCCTTACCGATCTCAGGTGGGTTAATTATACCCTCTCCGTCTTGTTGCTTTATTCATCGGTAACGTCACAGTACTGTCAGAATTAAATTACAAAGCCCTAACTCTTAGGCGAGTTGAAGCTGAGGAGCATGCATGTTTCTTATCAGCTGCACTCAATTCTCAACGTCAGAACCACCGGGGGTCCTTGTTTTTCAAAAAGACACCTCTTACGTGATAATTTATTTGATTTCCTTTTATGCACAATAATCATTTTGAAGTCTCGAAAAGGAGAGCGTGTTGTTGTTTCTAAAAGAGAAAGTAAATTTAATGAGATTGAGAGACATGAACCTAGACTG